GAACATAAGCAGCACAGCATGATTCAAATGCTTATCTCTATGACAACGAAGCCCAAATTTTGTACATCGCACTATTCTTTCTCCTGTTTGCTTTCTAGCCAGATATGTGATGTAGAATGTATAAATCAGGAGGTATAACTATCACTTAGTTATTAAGGTGTATAAAATCTAATACTCAACAGCTTTACAGCAACAAAGGTTGTAGTCTATGTGCATGGGATCAACTCACCAAACAAGAAGGGGGTGCTCAGAACTTCAAGGCATTACATCCATTTAGCCAGGATATATTCGTTTTTTGATGAGTTACTAAATTCTACTTGCTAATATTTTAGTTTTGTCTTTTTAATCGATATTTATAAGATAAATTCTTAATTTTATTTTTATGTGCATTGTTTGTCACATTTTCATAGCAATTTTAAAGAGACTTTTCTTGCTGCAACTTGGAGGCAAGAAAAATAGAGCTAGCCTTTGCTGGTAGTCCTGGGATATGTTGGCCTTTTTGCCCCCATACTGAGTGATTCTCTCATATAATCATCCTGTCATCTCTTTCACACCATTAGATTGGACAAATTTCTAAAGAATTGATAACATTTTTAGAAACATTTTTATAAGAAATGCAATCTGTGTTTGTGCATATATTCTTAAATCTCAGATTCTTCTGGTGAGCAGAATTGTAGAAATACTTTATTGATATCTTAGTACTGAAATTCACATGACAATAGTGAAATATTAATAAAAAAAAAAACTTCCCCCAAATCTCATATGGGTTTATCCTTTTACCTCCCCCACCCTCAAAAAAAAAAAAAAATTGAACTACAATCACTCTTTATTTAAAACCGTACTAATTCTAATTTCACAATCAGCCTAAAGTGTTTTCCTTTTGAACTTAAAATATTTTTGATGTTTCTCACCATAAATTAAATTATATGAACTTCAATAACCCATAAGCCCCTAACAGTATGTTATCAAGTTATATAAATATGAAATAACTGAATGAAGTGAATGTCAAAATAAGTGACCTTATTGCAGCACAAATCACATATCACTGTTTTCTACTTATTCTGTAGCTGCTAGTTGTCTCAGATTCAGTAGCAACTTTGCACATTAACATCAATAATTTTATAGAACATGCACTTGGAGGAAAATAAACCAATATTTATAAGTTAGTGAGTTCATATTCAGTGCTTCCATTCCAACTGATGAATATCAGAGAAAAATAAAACAAAATCAACTTACCTTGTTCATATTAAATCCATATGCCTACTAGCTTGAATTAACTGAATATGATTAATAGCAGCTTCATATCAATATACATATGCAGAAATAAAGTCATATTCATTACAGAATTTCATATAATTGCATATTGTGACTAATTCCTGTATTGCTAATTAAAATTGGGGTTTTAGACAAAAGAGATACTAGAAGTAAAATTGTCAAACAATTTTTAAAGCATTAGCACCATGACTCTTCTATAAATATAAAATAAGCCTGTTTTTAAATGTATGGAGATATTACTACACACCAACTAGAATGGACAAAATATTTTTAAAATAACTGAAGTAAATCCTGGTAAGGATATGGAGCAACAGGAACTCTTATTCATTGCTGGTAGGAATGCAACTGGTGAAGACACTGGAAGAGTTTGGCTGTTTCTTACAAAACTAAACATAGTCTTACCACCACCCAGCAATCCTGTTCCTAGGTATGCGCCCAACTAATTTTAAAATTTGTGTCTACACAAAAGCCTACATAGAAATGTTTAAAGTAACTTTATTTATAATCACCAAAAATAGGAAGCAACCAAGATGTCCTTTGATATGTGAATGAATAAAAAAACTGTGCCACACAGTGAAATACTACTCATCAATAAAAAGGAATGAGCTATCAAGCCATGCAAGCACATGTAAGAATCTTAAATGTATATTGTTAATTGAAAAAAGGCTGGTCTGAAAATCTACCTACTGATCCATTTATAAGACATTCTGAAAAAGGCAAGATTACAGTGATGATAGATCAGAGCTTGCCAAGAGTTTAAAGTATGTGTGGGGTGTTGAATAGTAGAAGCACAAGGATTTTAGTGTAAGTGAAACTATTCTGCATGGTACTTTTAATAGTAAATACATGACACTATGCATATTTCAAAACCCATAAAACTTTACAGAATAAAAATTAAATTTAGATGTATATGACTTAATAAATTATTTAAAAGGATTGAAATGCAGACTGTGAAAAAAGCATCTAACTGTTACAACTACATAAAGCAAACTCAAGGATAGGAGTAGGGATTAAAGGTGCTGACCTGAGTAGGTTTGAAAATGAGTGAAATCTGAAATACTAAAGGCAAAAGGAACTGTAGATACACTCTGTATTCTAATTCATAAAATCATTTCCCATGGGGATGTGGGTTAACAATTTTGAAATTACTCTGTATGCAAAGTAAAATTGAATAACAATGTAAATGCATGGCAGACTGTGAGAGCATGATTTCACAGTGCTGAAGTAGGATCTAAGATTTTTATAGGAGTAATACACAACTTGATTCTTAAAGGACATATAGAATTCTAGCATCAAGGAGAAAATAGAAAATATATATTTTTCATATTTAAAATTTATATATTTGATATATAATAATGCAACGTCAATAAATTAATGTGGGTTTTTTTTCAATTTTATTTTAAGTTCTGGGATACATATGCAGGATGTGCAGGTTTGTTACATAAGTAAACATGTGTCATGGTGGTTTGCTGCACCTATCAACCCATCACCTGGGCATTAAGCTCCAAATGCATTAGCTGTTTATCCTGATGCTGTCCCTCTCCCTGCCCTCTACAATGGGCCTCAGTGTGTGTTGTTCCTCTCCCTGTGTTCATGTGTTCTCTTTGTTCGGCTCCCACTTACATGAGAACATGCAGTGTTTGGTTTTCTGTTCGTGTGTTAGTTTGCTGAGAATAATGGCTTCCAGCTCCATCCCTGTCCCTGCAAAGACATGACCTGATTCCTTTTTATCACTGCATAGTATTCCATTGTGTAAATGTATCACATAAGAAAATATATTTTAATGAAAAGGAACAAATTAAGTCAGTAGTACTAACACTTTTAGGTCTTGGATCCCTTGAGACTCAGAAAATTACCTAATATCAGAAAGGATTTGTTAAAATGTGCACTATACCCATTGATGTTTCCATATTATGAATTAAAACTGACATTTAAAAAATACTTATTTACTAATTTAATTTAAAATAAAATAATAAGCCCATGCATGTCGACATAGACAACATATTTTTATTAAAAAAAATTAGTTTACAAAACAAAAGCATTTAGTGAAAAAAGTGTCCTCGTTTACTTTTTTTTTTTCAAATCTCTTTTATGTCTATCTTAATAAGGTGGCTGGGTTTTTGTATCTTATGCATTCAATGTGTTGCAATATTACATATCTTACAGTCTCCGGAAAACTCCACTTTATAAAGTGATATGAGAATAAGACTTTAGAAGGTAAGTAGCATCTAAATGTTACTGTGTACATAGTTTTAGTCTTGAAAACCTTGCAGAGTATCTCAGGAACTTAAGTGGTCTCTATACCATACTTTGAGAACAACTGGCTTAAGCAAAGGCACAGAAGAGAGGAAACACAGAATGTGTAGGAAATAAGGGAAAGAAGGCATGTTATTAAAAATAGAGTCAAATTCAAATGATGAGAACCACAAAAGACCCCAAATAGCCAAAATCATCTTAAGCAAAAAGAGCAACGCTGGAGGCATCACATTACATGACTTCAAAATATACTACAAAGCTATAGTAATCAAAACAGTATGGTACTGGCATAAACAGACATACAAACTGATGGAACACAATAGAGAGTCCAGAAATTCAAACATTTACAGACAACTGATTTTTTGACAGAAAGGTGCCAAGATACACAATGGGGAAAGGACAGTCTCTTCAACAATCAGGGAAGGAAAACTAGATATTCATATGCAGAAGAATGAAAATGGACCCTTATTTCACCCATTATACACGAATTAACTCAAAATGTATCAAAGACTTAAACATAAGACCTGAAACTGTAAAACTACTAGAAGAAAACACAGGAAGCATGCTCGCTGACATTAGTCTTAGCAGTGATTTCTTGGATATGATCCCCAAAACACAGATAACAAAAGCAAAAATAGACAAATGACATTACATCAAACTAAAAGTAGCAAAGGAAACAATTCACAGAATTTAAAAACCCACAGAATTGGAGAAAACATTTGCAAATCATGTTTGACAAGGGTCTAACATAAAAAATATACAAGGAACTCAAACATTTATTTTCAATAATATGAAAATAAACCTATTAAAAATTGGCAAAGGAACTGAATAGACTTTTCTTTAAAAAAGACATACAAATGGCCAACTGACACATGAAGAAATGTTCAACATCTCTAATTATCAGAAAAATGCAAATAAAAGCCATAATGAGATGTCACTTCACACTTGTTAGAATGGCTATTATCAAAAAGATAAGATAACATATGTTGGCAAGAATATGGAGGAAATGTAGCCTTTGTACATTGTTGGTGGCACTGTAAATTAGTACAGTCATTTTGGAAACACTACGGAGATTCCTCACAAAAACTAAAAGTAGAATTAACACATGATCCAGCAATCCCACTTCTGGGTCTGTATCTTAAGAAATTGAAACAAGTATGACAAAGCAGTGTCTCCATTCCCATTATATGAATGTTTCTGCATTATTCACAAGAGCCAATATATAGAGACAACCCAAGTGCACATCAGGGGCTGAATGGATAGAAAAAATGTATGTATACATAATGGAATACTTTTCAGCCTTCAAAAATGCAGGAAGTACTGTCATATGCAACAATATAGAGGCATCTAGAAGACATTATGCTAAGCGAAGTAAGTCAGTCACAAGGAGACAAATGGAATATGATGTCACTTACATGCGATATTTACAAAGTCAAACTCAGGGAAGTAAAGAGTAGAATGGTACTTACCAAGAGCTGGAGTGGTGGCAGGAAAGAGGGTAGACGGGGAAAAAAAAAGATGTTGGTCAAAGGACACAAAGTTTCTGTTAGATAGAAAAAATAAATCTGGTGAGATGCCGCACAGCTTGGTGATTATAGTTAATAATTATGGTATATGTCAACATAGCTAAATGAGAACATTTAAAATGTTCTAACCACAAATTAATAAATATTTGAGGTGACAGATATACTAATTACCTTGATTTGATCATTCCATCATGCATGCGTGTATTGAAATATCACATTGTACCCCAAAATAAAATTACTTGTCAATTAAAAATAAAATTTAAATTAAAAAAATGTAATTATATATGAAGTGGTGGATATGTTAATTCTTTTGGCTTAATTATTTAATAATGTATACATATATCAAAATATGTTGGAATCAGTAAATACATATATATAGGTTTTGTCAGTTATGCCTTAATAAGGCTGGGAAATTTTTTCTTTTAAAGTTTCAATGGTGCAACATCATGGCTAAATTAAGAATTAGCTAAAAAATAAATTGAGATAAATTGGAAGGGTTTGAATGTCACGGAAAGTGTGATTGCTTTTTTAAAAAAACTATCATAAAGAACAGGCTTTGTGCAGAAAAGTGACAATATTTAGTTTCTAAAGGAAATACATTTTAATAACAATATAGACCATAATTTGTCTGGTTAAAACATTGGAAGGCAGAGATCAAAAATCAGAGGATGTGATTTTAGTAGTCCAGGTGAATCATAAGGCGAACCAGTAGTGATTTTAAAAGGGTGCTGAATTTTATAGACAATATAAATATAGAATGAAAAGCACTTAGCAGTTAATCAATATGGGGTAGAAAGAAAAGGAGAAAGATATTGGGGACAGGGGAACTTGAAGCATTTATTTGAAGGGGCCCATATAACACTATATATATTCTGTATGTATACCTTATAGGGAAAACTTGTATTAGACTTCACAATTACAGTGGATATTTTTTTCCAGAGACGTTTAAAACAATAAGCAGAAATCTTGGCAGTAGTATTCCCCTTAGGAAGATGGATGCGTATCATTGATAAATCCTTTGGAGTTAGGGCTGGGATCATACAAAGGGCATGCTTAGAAAGCTATGTGGCTGCTCATGCCTGTAATCCCAGCACTTTGGGAAGCCGAGGCAGGTGGATCATGAATTTAGGCATTCAAGACTAACCTGGCCAACACGGTGAAACCCTGTCTCTACTAAACATACAAAAATTAGCTGGGCGTGGTGTCTGTCATGTGCCTGTAATCCCAGCTACTTGGGAGGCTGAGGCAGGGGAATCATTTGATCCCAGGAGGTGGAGTTTGCAGTAAACCGAGATCACACCATTGCACTCCAGCACGGGTGACACAGCAAGACTCTATCTATCTCAAAAAAAAAAAAAAAAAAAAAAAAAAAAAAAATGTGTGGTCTCTACACCAGGTTTTTTGTATGTTTAACTTTGCCTTGGAGTAACTATGTATAGATTCTTATAACTTAATTAAGATGGTACATTTGGTTAACTGCAGAAGTTTACGTTTTGCTGAGTGGTGTTTAAAGACAGAAATACAAAGCTGAATTTATTAACATAGAAAGTATTAAAAAGATGGTGTTTATGGGCTTTAAAAGATGGTGTTTATGACTTGTGGGCCCATCCCAAATTATATGTTGAAACCTCATAAATGAATACTTCAGAATATAACTGTATGTGGGGATGGGGCCTTTAAAGAGGTAACTAAGGTTAAATGAAGTCATATGAGTGTGCCCGAATCCCTGTGATTGTATTTGGAGGTAAGACCCTCACAGGGTGACGAAGTTAAATGAGGCCTATAGAGTTGGAACCCAATCCTACCAGACTCCATATAGGAAGACATTAAAAGACAAATACTGTATGATCTCACTTATGTGTAGAAATTAAAATAGTCAAACTTATAGAAGCAGAGAGTAGAATTACCAGTAGCTGGGGTAAAAGAAATGGGGAGGTGATGCTCAAAGTGTACAAAATGTCAGCTATGCGAGATAAGTAAGTCTTAGAGTCTCACTATACAACATCGTGCCTGTAGCTAACAATACTGTATTTTAATATTTGCTAAGAAGATAGATTGTAAAATTTTCTTACCACAAAAACTAAATAAAAATAAATAAATAATAAAGGGGGCAGGAGGAAATTTTGAGAGATGACAGGTATGTTTATAGATTTAATAGTGGAAATGGTTTCACAGGTTTATATGTATCTCCAAACTCATCATGTTGTGTTCATTAAATACACATAATTTTTAAATGTCAATCTTACCTCAGTAAAGTGGCTTATGAAACTAAACTTCAGTGATAGACACCCAACAAATGATCATTTATGGGTGGTATGAATTTCAGAAAAAGGTCAGACATGTACTATTTACTATAAAAAATAAAAAAGAAAGCCAGTCATTAATTATATTCCTTGGCTTCCTGCTTTCTGAATGTAGAATTGAATTTCTATACCCCATAAAGACTGAATGTGGTTACATAATATGTTTTAGCTGAAGAAATGTAAGCAAAAGTGATTTGTGTCTTTAGAATCAAAATACTTAACTTTAAAAAAAATTTTAGATTCAGGGAGTCCATGATTGTTGTTTGTTACATGGATACACATTGCATAATGGTGAAGTTTGGGTATCCAATGCAGTCATCATCCAAGTAGGGAACACATTGCATACAATAGGAAATTTTTTAACCCTCATTCCCTTTTCAACCTCCCCTCTTTTGGAGTCCCCAGTGTCTATTATTTCCAGCTTCATATTTTAACATCCAGTTTTTTATACCGTGTCTTTTCTATTGCCATGGTCACCAGCAACACTGAAAATAGTGGTTGCTCCAGTAGCCCACAAGGAGATATAGAGCAGATGCTCCAGCAGAGTCATGACATACATAAAACATGTGCAATAAATAAACCTTTGCTGGAAAAAGCCATTGAAATTTGGTGGAGGGGATTGCTACCGTGGCATAATACAGTTATTCTGATTGGTGGAGCCAGCTTGTTCAACATATAAATGAGGTATCTGTCCGTTGGACATATAAACAACTTCTCTCTCTCTGTTTAAAACTAAATTTAGTCTCTGACAACAGTCTTTTCAATCACAATCTTATAGAACAGAAGGGTTTATCCTCTCCATTATGGAAAACATTTATAGAGCATCTAATACAGAATGAAGATGTTTTCACATGCATCTTGTTATATATCTTTTAAGTATATATTATTGTTTCTATCTTACATATATTGGAACTGAAGATTAAAAGTATAATAAAATGTACAGATTGTAAAACTAGGAAAGTAATAGACTCACTTTGAGCCAGCTTCTAACTTTGATATAGTTGCTCTTTCCATATACTACAATGCCTTTGGTTAACCTAAAGACAGAACATTGACTACTGCTGCCTAAGGGAAGTTTCTTATTCTCCCTATTCTCTTAAAAATATTTAGAAACTCATTCAATTTTCTAGATCTTCTAGAAATAGTTTTAAAAGAAAAGTGACATTTTTTTCTACATTTTGAAAACAATTTCCTCTTTAGATTCTTATGCCCTAGGTGACTGAGTTCTGCCAAAACAGGAGTTTCAGATAAGTTCTAAGAGAACTTGATCCTCTTGCTTTATGGAATAATGAAGGAAATTTCAAAAAAAAAAAAAAAAAAAAAAAAAGAAAACAGATGAAGAGCTATTTTTATGTCCCTCAATCAGGTAGACTGTTTACCCATTTCAAAAAAGATAGACAATTATAATCAGACCAATCATTTTCCTAGTCTTTCCCTCAGGAAAAAAAGAAAAAATCCATGATGTTTAAATGGCCAATTTCATTTTTTTTTTCAATTCTTGGAAGTATGACTTGACTTATTCAAATAATCTATTATTATATTATCCTATTTTTAAAATAAAAAATGATACCTCTCTAACAAGATTATAGCAAACATTTTTAAAAACTACATAGAGTAACCAGAACAGTATTTACCATAATTGTGATTACATTTTCTTTCCTTCAGATTCTCAAATAAAAGGAACCACAATATTCAAATATTTTCCTTCAGATTTACAAATTACAGGAACTACAGTATCGTTCCTTGAAGCTCCAATTAGACAAACCTTAACATAAAGGTCTTAAAATATATACCCTGTTTCATTTGGATTGAACAGACATTTGAAAGTTGCTTCATCCATTTTACCCATCGAATATATCACAGTGGAAGATTCTGTATTAACTTGGCCACGAGGAGCATCATCTACTTTCAAAGTAGGCAAAACAGCCAGACTGGATACTTTATGCTCCTTTTATTTCATAAATCTAGAGAAAGCCTTAGCTAAAGGAATGTAAGTTATGTTTAAGTTATCTTTACCTCCATTTGCTAGTGTTCTGGGCAATGATCATAGACACATCGACACGATGATCCTAGACACACAGTTGAAACCTCACAGAAGCTTCCAATCCCAAAGTCAATATATCTACAGATAGTCGTAAATTGTTTACTCATTTTGATGAAAATAAGAGGAAAGATATGAAATGGCTTTACTTTTTAATAAACTTTATTTATATTTTCTTTTTTTTTTCACAGACAGGGTCTCACACCGTTGCCCACAGTGGATAGGAAGTGGTGTGATTATAGCTTACTGCAGCTTTGAACTCCTGAGCTCAATGGATCCTCCTGCCTCAGCCTTCTGAAGAGTTGAGACTACAGGCATGGGCCACCACATCTGGCCATCTGGTTAATTTTAAATTTTAAAGATGGAATCTCCCTATGTTGCCCAGTCTGCCATAGAACTCCTGGCCTCAAGTGATCCTCCTGCCTTGGCCTCCCAAACTACGGAGATTGCAGGTGTCAGCTACTGCACCCAGCCTATACTTTCTAGTTAAAAAAAAAATGTACATATGCATTGTGGTGAATTTAGAAGACACAGAAAACTAAGAAAATAGAACAAGAAATTATATAATCTTGAACAAAAAAATAGAACAAAATAGAACAAAATTGAATGTTGAAAATAGAACAAAAAATTATATAACAAAAAGGCAACACTAAACTTTGTTTATAAATTTTTG